AAGGGGCGGGCGCAGCCCCTCGGGGGTGGGTGCCCTTCCCGAGCCTGCTCCGGTGGGAAAGCCCCGCAGGGCTCGTAGAGGTGGTGCGGGGTGTGTAGGGAGGATTTTGGGGAGAAGCCCCCGTGCGAACAGTTCAGCTTTGCGAGAGAAGAGCCAAGTTGTGTTTTACAAAGCGTAGCCCGGTAGTAATTAATGTCTTCGATTGCGCTCTCAGGACAGCACGCGTGGAAATGGAAGACCCGCGTCTCTCCAGCCTGATGTTGCTGCCCCAACAGACTGAAGTGTTTCTGTGAGTACTCCTGGCCCTCTGGGTGGGCACAGCCACCGAGTGAGCTGAGGTGGCTTTCCCTGAGGCCCTGCCACCCAAGAAATGTTGATACCAACTTTGCATGAATTGATGGGCTCTACAGTTTCCAGGTTTGCGTATTTGCGTTCTTGGTGGTGTTTTTTCTTCTCTGTGCTGGCCTGCAGATGGGTGAAGCATTGCATGAAGTAGGTGTGAGTGCCTGTTGGAGGCAGCAGGGAGAAGGCTGCCTGAGGAATTGGGAGAAATAGCAAGGTTTCACAAAATAAGATTGTGAGTCAGTGAGATGGATGCTGACACTGAGAAGTAAAGGGTTAAATATTCTCAAACATTTCTGTAGATTGGACGACAGCTTCATCCAAGGAAGTGTCTTCAAGCCAGTTCCCCCAGTACTTTGGCAGTAAACTAGAATCACTGTCATAGCCAAGGTGGTTACGAACACAGAGGAGCGATGTTAGGAGGGTACATGCAACGATCCCTGAGTCTTTGAATGTTACTTAGCAACTGTTAAGGAAGAGTCAGCAGGGTATGACCAGTCAAGCACCCACAGACCGCCAACAAATGCCGCACATGCAGAGTACAAAGTAACAATCAGGATAAACAGGCAGAATTTAAAAGCATAATAATAATAAATTTGCTAATTTTCTTTCTTGTGTTCCCCCCCTCCATCTCCTTTTGTCTTTCAGACCCTTTCTTCACTGTTCCAAGCGTGATGCTGTCATTGACCTCTTTGGTGTACTCATAGGCAATTTTCTGCCCCTTTGCTTTCCTATCTAAAATGGTATCCTACATCCTACAGGTAAATTTTAGTTAACACAAGCTAAAGCGCCTCCAGTCTTTGGAGAGAGTTTGAAGAAATCTTGCCTGAATGTTTCTGAGCCTTGTTCTGCTTCTAGCTGCTCAGCATGTCTTGGCTGCTCCAGCTCTGTGCGCTCTGACCATGAGCAGCAATTCCTCCCTCAGCAACGTGAAGGGCCTGAGGAACCTCACCACGCAGGAAGACGGGGCAGTCAGAGTCACCGAGTCAATTGCCATCGTCGTCATTGCTATTTTCATCTGTTTGGGCAACCTGGTGATCGTCGTCACCCTCTATCGGAAGTCTTACCTTCTCACCTTGAGCAACAAGTTTGTGTTCAGCCTGACCCTCTCCAACTTCCTGCTGTCCATACTGGTGCTGCCTTTTGTTGTTACCAGCTCCATCCGGCGAGAATGGATCTTCGGAGTTGTTTGGTGCAATTTCTCAGCCCTTCTCTACATGCTGATCAGCTCAGCCAGCATGCTGACTCTTGGACTCATAGCTATAGACCGGTGAGCAGCTCTATTCTAATTAACCATCATTCATAATTTTCTAATGGATCGGACTCATAGCTATAGACCGGTGAGCAGCTCTTTTCTAATTAACCATCATTCATAATTACCTAGTTGTTCCACAGAGTGACTCGTTGGTTCTTCGTAGACTTGTGAAGCACTGCAGTGGGTAATGCTGCGTGCTGTTACAGTGTCATTTTTCCTTCAGCCCCTTGTGAGATTTTGATACAGAACAGAAGAAATTTACATCATCAGCAATGCTAAATGCAGACATGACTTTTTTTTAAAGCTGTTGAAGGTATCATAACATACTACTTGAAAAACAAGAAATAGCGAGTTAAAATTTCAGGCCATATCCTAAGCACATGCTCACACATAAGGACAGATTTAATAACTGCATGTGTCCCTTCCAGCCAAGTTTTACAGTCTTGACTGCAGTAGTGTGTATTTTTACATCTAATTATAAACAGACTCCATGGGCCTGCTTTGAGATTTAGAGAAAAGAGAACTAGGTATCACAATCATTAGAATATGTTCTTTTTTTAAAAAAAAATGTGCATCTTTTGTGCTCCTGTTGACTCTTGCTTTGCTTGTCCACCAGATACTATGCTGTCCTGTACCCGATGGTTTACCCAATGAAGATAACAGGCAACAGAGCAGTGGTAGCTCTTGTGTATGTGTGGTTACATTCCCTTATTGGCTGCCTGCCCCCACTTTTCGGCTGGTCGTCTTTGGAGTTTGACCAATTCAAGTGGATGTGTGTGGCGGCCTGGCATAAAGAGGTTGGGTACACTGCCTTTTGGCAGATCTGGTGTGCCCTGCTACCCTTCCTGGTCATGATGATCTGCTACGGATTCATATTCCGCGTGGCAAGGATTAAGGCCCGCAAGATCCACTGTGGTAGCGTGGTCATCGCGGAGGAGGACTCCCAGAGGAACGGGAGGAAGAACTCCAGCACTTCCACATCCTCTTCTGGCAGCCGAAGGAACGCTTTCCAAGGGGTTGTCTACTCAGCCAACCAGTGCAAAGCATTCATAACCATCTTGGTTGTCATCGGTGCTTTTGTGATAACGTGGGGGCCTTACATGGTAGTAATTACATCAGAAGCACTTTGGGGAAAAAATAGTATTTCCCCTGCCTTGGAGACACTAGCTACGTGGCTCTCCTTCTCCAGTGCCATTTGCCATCCACTAATTTATGGACTGTGGAACAAGACAGTGCGCAAGGAGCTACTAGGGATGTGCTTTGGGGATCGGTATTACCGCGAGTCCTTTGTCCAGCGGCACAGGACGTCCAGGTTATTCAGTATTTCCAATAGGATCACAGGTAAGACACGTGGCCACCAACGACACTCTTCCTTAGTACCAGTAAGAACAAGGCTTCTTGTCTGCACGTGCTGGGCATGTTTCAGGGCTTTGTAAACAAAGTGGGATGTTTCTGGAGATTTCAGCAGTCTTTTGTTCAGGTTATCATAGGCACTTGAAAGGAACTTTTTTTTTTTTTATGGGAGTTAACCTCTTTCTCCTACTGTACAAAAGTTTACTCTGCCAGAGAAGGCAGTGATGAGGTTAATACAAGACAGTTCTTTTCTTTTCTCTCAAGCATTTCGTTTCATGTCCATACTAGTTTGTGTTACCCACATTTGGCAGCACTTGTTCTTTGATTCCTGGCTTTATTCTACAACTTTCTGAGGTTTACTGAAGTTACACTGGTGTTACTATATCTGTAAATTGAGTTTTTAGGCTTAATGGTTGTGAAGAAAAGATCATAAAGTATAACTATGTAAAAGAGTAAACCTATTTGATGTCTCCAAGTTGCAGGCTGAGAGCTTCAGGTGCTCAGATTTTGTTCTCTTTAAAGTAGCAATGCAACAAAATTCTGGTATTTTTAAATTTCCCTGATCCTGTTCAGATGCTTCCAAAACCAGGACATCTTCATGGAATCCCTTGGGACATTTAATGTAGAGGCAGGAACTGAGGTTACTTAATTGTGAAGGGAGATCTAAAATGTGAAAGGGAGAGGGGTGCAGCAAGGTATCCGTTATCTATTCTGCAACCTGGAATCATTGGGAGACACTCCCATCTAAATGAAAAAGTTCTGTAGCTGCAGCCACATCCCAAGGTGTTCTAATGCTCCTCCCATTTGCAAATCTCTATCCAGGAGTTGCTGTGGATGAATACATTGGGAACAGTGGTGGGAGGGAAAAGACAGGAATTTTCTTGCTCTTTCCAAGTGCTAAGAAGCTGACAGCTTCAAATTTGTCAGGTGTATTAGCTGCAGGCTGATAGGGAATAAGAAAAAAACCTAAACAACAACAACCAGCCAAACCCACAACAAAATCTTTAAGTGAGATCTGAAGACTGCACCTTTCTAAGAATGCTATAGTCTCCTCCCTTCCTATTTTGGAGATCTGAAAGAAGCCAGGCATCTCGGTGCCCCAGATCTTCCTGCCACATGAATGGCTTGTCACAGCTGCTGGTGGCTATGAGGTTGTTCTCTGTCCAGAAGGTGTCTGGCAAA